GAATCTCCTCCCAAAACCAATCATGATGATTATCAGTTTACAGTGGTTATGGAGATCATAAATTTTTACAATTCGTTTTCATTTTGAATAGAATTAAACCTTTATTTATACAAAGTGACGTGATGTAATCAAAACTTAACGGCACTGTCCAGTTTATAATTCATTGCGCAATCAGTAAACTTTGACTATCTCCAGTTCATGCCCATGAATTTAATCCGATTAATGTAATCTAATGAACAGTAGAAACTCGGGAAAATATTTAGTATTACATTTTATACTACTTTAAGTAGTTTAAATAAATTCATGCAATTATTCAAAATTGATTAATAATATCATTTTGTCGTTTAAGTAAACATTATTAAACAGATAAATGACTCAATTTCCATTAAGAGTAATTGTGTATTTGAAAGTAACAGACAATAGAAAATCAAGCTTAATTCCACTTGAACACAGAGCACAGTCAAAGAGATATTGTGAACCTTAATTTCTTAGTTTACTTATGCCGGATACCCACAATGGAGCATACGCCACTGACCAGCATTCGCTAACCATTTCTGTCCTGGGTCTTCTTTCCCAGTTATATACAATTGCTGCTCATTCTTCTCATTTCTGCCTCCAATTTTCGGGGTAGTTTATTCTTTGGTCTTTCTCTTTTCCTTTGACCTTGAAAATTTCCAGTTGGAGTTTGTCTTGTGACGCAGTCCGACTACTTCTGTATTGAGTATCCGATCAACCTCGAGCGCTTTCTCCTGATTTCATCCTCAGCTGGATTCTAGTTGGTTGTTTCCCTTAGTAGATTGTTGCAGTTGGCGGATAATAAGTATCTTACATAGACAAGTGTTAAGTAAACACTTGTATCTTCTCGATGATGACTTTTGTAGTTCTCCAAGTTTCCGCCTCATATAGTAGAACTGTTTTGACAGTGTATTGAAAACTGTGGGTTCGGTGTTGGTTAATAGTTGTTTCGAGTTCCAGATGTTCTTCGACTGTCGAAATGCTGCCCTTAATTTGCCAAGCCATCTCTTGACATCGTTACCAGACCGAGTTTGTATATCAATTATGTTGCCCAGGTATGTAAAGGTTTCCAAATCTCCCAAAGCTTCTGTTGTAGGTGTTATTTAGTTGGTATATGTTATGTCGTATCGAAGGATCTTGCCTGTTCCCTTGTGTATGTCGAGATCTACTGCTGCAGAGGATGCCACTACACAGATCCTCACCTCATGAATTTGTTGTTGCGTGTGGCATAAAAGAGCCAGGTCACGTACGAAGTCCAGATCATCCAGCTGCATCCTGGAAACCGTGCTTCCCTCCAGATGTCGACGTCTTCATAATCCAGTCGATCACTAGGAGAAAGAGAAAAGGTGAGAGTAAGTAGCCTTGTCTAACACTGGTCTTCGCCTCGAAAGAGTCTGTTAGCTGTCCTTCGTGTATGATTTTGCAGTTGAATCCATCATAAGAATTCCGTATGATATTGACTATATTCTCAGGCACGCCGTAGTGTCGATTAAGGCTCCATGGTGTTTTCCTATCCACGCTATCGAATGCTTTCTCGTAGTCAATGAAGTTGATGTAGAGTGGTGAGTTCCATTCAACTGATTGCTCCACAATGATCCGTAATGTTTCTATTTGGTCAGTACATGATCGATCCTTACGAAATCCGGCCAGTTGATCTCTAATGTGGGCATCCTTGAAGTCCTACATTCTGCTTGTACCGAGAGAAGAGTGATGCCTCTGTAATTCTTACACTGACTGAGATCGCGTTTCTTCGATATTTTGATGAGGTATCCTTCCTTCCAATCTGATGGTACTTACTGTCTATCCCAAATTTTTCTTGAGAGAGTGTGGAACATCTCAGTTACTGGTATGTCTGCTTTCAATGCCTCAGACGGAATATTATCTGAACCCGCTGCTTTGCCGCTCTTGTTTTATCCAAGGGCCATGATAATCTCTTCACTTGTTGACGGGTCAACATTTACTGAGATGTTCGTAGGTGCTGCCTCGATTCTGGGTTGGTTCAGTGGGGCTGCAAGTCAAAAGGAAAAGAGGAAGGCCAAGGAACACATTACGCCGAGAAATAGAGAAAGATATGAGAGAAATGTACGAAAACTGGACAGAACTGGAAAAGGAAGCCCAGGACAGAGTTGGATGGTGGGTGGCCTATGCTCCATTGGGGATAACAGGCGTAAGTAATAAGTAAGTAAGTCACGGGGGCTGGTCGACTTAAGAGTTCTTCATAGTGCTGTTCTTTAATGTCGATGATTACTTCGTCTGCTTTACTTTTCACTAACCTTTCTGGTTTACTTTATTTTCCAGCAAGCCTCTCCGCCGTGCCATATAGCTGACAAATGTTTCCTGTGTGAACTTTCAACAAATCAATAAAACTAGAACTATGATACCTATTTTAAACCACGAACTGGATCATGGTTATATTAAATGGGAATATTGTGGTGCGAGCTACTTATAAGTAGTATACGACATGAGTGTCAACGTAATATCTGGCAGCAGCAGAAGATGGGGGAAGATCAAGAAAGGAAGAGTTAGAAAACACAATGGAATTTGTATGAAACGCATGAATAGTGACAATGGATTGCTGATGTTTTGCAACAGCAACAGTCCAGTTCGATATGATGGATTGATATTTTGCAAATTAACAACGATTTACGATATGGTTTTCCTATTTTACTGAGTAACTCTGTAATTTGCGTTAAATACAATTCGGTTGCCCCCACCTGTGTTCTTCTTCATTACAATATGATTAATTGACGAAAATAAACATTGGACAATATTTCGAAATTACATGAAGGGGTTGTGAAGATTGTTAAGTGGTCCGATGGTTTGGCGTTCGCGCACAGAATACCGAAGGCCCTGGATTCGAATCCTGCGGGGTGCAGAAGTCGTGGGTGCCCATTGTCACTGATAAGTAGTCCCATACCAAGATGAAACGGCTGTCTAAACAGTGCTTCTGTCAGGTTTCTACTGATGGTGGTTTAATAACATTGATCGATTCATGGTTTCAAAAAATGTGTAACCCTAACAATCTTCACAATAACCCCGTAATGCGAATTACCTGTGCCCACTTGTGTGACTAGCTCCGTAAGGAATCTTCTCCGAGTTCTAGTGGGAAGTTGTGACCAGTGAAGTTCAACCTGTTCGGGTGTAGACAGTAATTACTACCGAAGACTGTGGTGTATGAGGTTGCGCAACTCCGTGAATTGATCATGTTAGACATTAACAAAGTTAGATACCGGCTCAGTGTTCCAGAGGTTAGGCGTTCGCGCACAAGACTAAAGGTCCTGGGTTCGAATCCTGCGAGGTGCAGGAGTCGTGGATGCACACTGTCACTGATGAGTAGTCCCCTACCAGGACGAATCGGCCGTCCAGTACTTCCAGGTTTCTAATGGTGGTCTAACATTTAAAAATTAGTCAAGCTAAGAAAAAATGAGAATGATTTTGAGTATCTGTCTACTTTCGAAAGATCGCTTACTGAACATTACAAATTGAAGCGTACAATGAAATATAGAAATTAAATCAGAAATGAATTCGGTAGCTGATCCGGTGACGACCGCAAAGGTAAGTGCTACTTCATGAGTATGGTAAAAAAATTGGTAGGCACTTTAAGCTACTGAGTATTTGTAAGTAGTCTAAACAAAAATACAAAAAACAAACACCAAGGGAATGGAAAGCTATATACGGTAAAATACATCTTCATGTAAGCGCGAACTAGAAATGTTATAGTTTTCTTTCACTTAAGTAATCACCTAAAATTTTTAAAATTTATGAGTAAAACTTTTTCTGCAATTCATAGATTACACAGTGAACTAACTTTCGAGATGGTGGAGAAGATTTGTAGCTCAGGTGGATGATCGTGGTGGTGGAGTTTGGTTCTCTGAGCTGGGTGTTTTGGTTGTGGAGCTTTCATTGTTCTTCTACTGAATAATAATCATCAGCACAAACTTCAGATAGACGAAGTGAAGCATTCGAATTTCACCACGCGTTTGAGCTGTAGCTTGTGTTCTGCTAACCTCGATCTTGATTGGTTGTTGTTGACCTTAAACCTGTCGTTGTTTGCACCTTTGTTTTTGATTGTATCCCCCTTTTGATCTGTTTCTTGATCCTGTATCACCTATGATTTTCCTGATGGGTTGATAAATTGAATCAATGTCGATGTGTTTGTTGATTGCTGACTGACCTGAGTGCCAAGCTTCTAAAAATTCTTTATCCTTCCCCTACCCAGTATTTCCACATTGTTCCAATCAAATATGTGTCCATAATTGTCGGTATGTATTGATATAAGCGAAACGTTCTCGTGACGTTTGACTGCTAACTGAAGAGGCCGTCCACTTTGTCCTATATCGATTTTACCAGTGATCAAGCCAAAAATGTGAGTTCGCTATGTAGCCGACACATTCGTCATCATCAGATTAACAACGTCTTCGATGACATAAAAAATTCACTATGGAAAAGGAATCAAACAACAGTCTATCATTTCTAAATGTTTAATTTCATTAAAAACATGATTTATTTTTCGTAGAATTTATTATATTCTCAAAGTATTGTTTAAATTCTGTCCATCAATGGCTTACCATTCAGTTCATGTGAATTCAACTAGATACATACATTTGATTGGTTCATCCAATTTATAATACGGCCGACTGCAAGAAATTTAACCAATCAGTTTTACATAAAAAAAATAAATAAACAATTAACAAATAAATTTAACCAATCAGATGTATGGAAATGTTTAGAAATTTTCTTCAAGTTCATATTATTCTAATTTCTGATTGGCTGATATTTTTGTCCGAATAATTTTTGTGTTGTCGTTGCTGTTGTTTAAATGACCACACACACAAAAGCGAAAAACCCGCATTTAACAACTATTCATCTCCAAAATATGTCATAACACATTTGTATTTTTTTTTTAAATATTTGGCCAATGTATTTTTTCTGACAATTTCTATTTTTCAAAATTAAAAAGAATTCACAGTGAATAGGAGAGATAAATGTTGGAAACTAAGGAATTAACATCATCATCAGAAGAAGACGGTGAAGGCATTCAAAAAATAGTCAACATATATGAAATATGCAATAATTGGGCAAATTATGATATGGATATGACTAGTAATAATACGAGTATTCATAGTAATCATAATCATACTACTGATAATGGTACCAGTAGTAGTATTAGTAGTACTAGTACAATGACTTCACAATGGACTATCAATGATATTCTACCCGCATATTTAACTGAGAATAATACATCTATGAATAATCATAATATCATGAATACAACAACAAGTATTGTGTCAAGTATAAATAATAAAAATGTACTAACCAGTACTACCACTACTAATACTACTAGTACTACTACTACTACCAATAGTAATCATATCAATCTATACGCACCCGCATATTCCAATCATATACACTTACCATCGATTGAATCAGTTAGACAATGTACACCTGCTCATCATCAACATGGTCACCAAGATCACGAAGATCAAGAATTTCACAATGATCTTAATCAAACCAACTTGTATTCCACTTCCTACTATCATTGTTATGATCATGATCATCATTTGCATTATTGGCCATCTGATGAGGAACCTAATGAATATGTAAGAAATTTGTATAAATCTGAACATTTCCTATCCCGTATTACTGATGAAACATGTGATCAGAGCGATTCACAACAAATTCATTTAGATATAAATCAAAGTAGGAGGATTAATCATTGTTCGCCTACTACTACTACTACTACTACTACTACAATTGAGCCGAATTCTACGAATATAGTCAAATGTCAAGTGTCTACATTGAATTCACCAAGTTCAATTGTCAATTTAAATCAAATTCATCAATATACATGGATAACATGTAATGAAATTCAAGTGAATAGTAATAATAGTACTGAGAGTATCAAAGAATCAAAAGATAATTCCAGTCTACCGCCGATACAACATCAGCAACATCAGCAACAACATTTATGGGATATAAAAGATTTAAAATTGCCCAAAGTAAGTGAATTCTTACTATTATTATTATTATTATTATTATCGTCATCATTATTCAAAAAGGGCGGTATGGATATAGATGAGAGTTGACCTTGATTTTGATTCATTTAAACAATCATTCGTTAAATGTTCATTGTCAAATATTCAATATATAAATGCGATTTAGATTTGAAAAATTCATTAAAACACAACTGAAAAAAGACAAGAAATTAATTGTTTGCGTTGTTTAAATGATGTTATCTTCCGAAGGGAATTGAAATTGCCGCTCATTTTTTGTTTGAATTAATTAAGAAGAAAAAAAACTCCCAATTTGATCGGTTATTGATAAAATACAGAATTGATCCTTAACGTCTGCGTTGTAGTCATTGGCAGGAGCATAACATTGGATGACGTTCATTGTAATGTTCTGTTTCTTTGTTTTGAAGGATACTTTAATAATCCTGGGTTCATGGGATTCCCATCCTATTAGTGCCTTTTGTGCTTGTTTAGACAATATCAGTGCAACTTCTTGTGTGTATGAGGCATTTCGTTGTTCATGGCTGGAGTAAAATAGCAGTTCCCCTGAAGCTAGTCTCAGTTATCCAATCTGTGTCCAATGTGTTTCACTGATTCCAAGTAGCTTTAGGTTGTATCTTTTCATTTCTGCCGCAACTCGAAATAGTCTTCCAGTCACCCATAATGTACGAACGTTTCATGTATCTAAAAGAATGGTATCTCTGGTTGTGAAAAGAGGCATCGGCCTAGTGACTTCCGATGAAACTCAGCTTTCATCATGAGACGTCTTAGTTCTTCTAAAAGAAGACCTTTTAATCCAGGGCAGAGTTAAAATGGTTTGAATTATGCTTTCTGGTTAGCAGTTTTTCTCAGCGAGTTAGTTTTTTTTGGTGGGATGGGGTCTCCAACTCCAAGCACAACCCTCCAGGCTTGGGATCGTCAGTAGCCCCAGAGGTGCCCTTAGGCGGAGTAACTAATTAAGTAAGTAAGTAATTGAACATTAAGGATAAGGAGAAGAACTTCTAATGAGAAATGATGATCAGTTGAGTTGAAAATATAATGATTGCCTTCAGTAACAACAGCGAATACCGATTGCGAAATCGTATATAATGGCAATTATCCTAAACTGACTAGTGACTATTAGCTTCATGAGGGAATGCGCCAAGTTCTAATGAGAAGCCACTAACCAATGGAGTTCTTCAATTATGACGATTGTGAGACAGTTATCCATTGAACACAATGAAGCAAAGTCTCGCAATACTTCGGATTGATGGATGCCACTGATCATTCGTGTGTTAGAGGTGTTCAAGCTCATGAATGCACTCTTTACCCTGTTATGCTTTGTCAACAGTTGATATACTTGATATGCTATTACGCGTTCACCTTACTCGGTAAACAAGAGTGAAGACAAATGATCCAGTGATACGATAGGCTACTCTAAACCAAGCCCACCAAGGCACAACGAAGTAGAGAAAGAAGTCTACAAGCACCCAGAAAATACAAGGTTGGCAGGCACACAAATCGTGTTTAATTGTACATGATAGAAACATCCTTGGGAGAGCCACAAAAAATAGCATACTAAAAACAATAGATCAACCAATAACAGACAAGGATTTTGCGGGTGGAAAATGTAATCTCAAGGTCAAAGAATCAACCCATTCATTAAAACATAAATTCCATAAATAACTCTGATATTTCGATTTGTTAATCTTACTCTCAATACTTGTCAAAAAGTAGTCTTGACAACAAAAAATTGTTTCTCGATCAAATTATTAAACACGAGTCATTGAAATTTCTGTCTGAGAAATAAAGATTATTATTACTATTATTATTATTACTATTGAAACCATGAATCTATCAGTGTTAGACAGAGCACCATTGGAAACCTGGAAGCACTGGATGGGACTCACCAGCAGTGCGCATCCACTGTAGTGAAGGAGAATACAGGTGGGGAAACCGAATTGTATTTAACGAAAATTACAGAGTTACTCAGTAAAATAGGAAAACCATATCGTAAATTGTTCATTTGCAAAATATCAGTTCATCATATCGAACTGGACTGTTCCTGTTGCAAAACATCAATCCATTGTCACTGTTCATGCGTTTCATACAAATTCCATTGTTTTCTAACTCTTCCTTTCTTGATCTTCCCCCATCTTCTGCTGCCAGACATTACGTTGACACTCACATCATATACTACTTATAAGTAGCTCACACCACACCACGACTCCTGCATATCGCAGGATTCCAACCCAGGACCTTCGATATTGTGCACGAACGCCCTAACCATCGGACTAATCAATGTTAAACTTATCATAAGAAACCTGTAAATATTCAATAGTTGTTTCGTCCTAATGTTGGATTCGTCAGTAACAGTATACATTCATGACCCTGTGAACTGGATTTGAATAACATGTAGGATTTCGTGTATGTCCTGAGTTCGATTCCTATTTGTGATTTCGATTTTTTAAGGAAACCTTGTCATTTCCAAAGTGTGTAAGTTTTTTTTTACTAAGATGAAACATATCCACCGAATACTTCCAAGTAGTCTAACAGTGATTTATTCATGATATCACGACCTTATATGCTTGAAACGATTAGGAGTTCACTTTACTCGGTAAACCAGAGCGAAGATCAACGATACAATGACATGATATAATAGGCTATTCTAATCCGTTTTTCCGAGACCCTGCTAACTAGATTAAGAAGTCTTGACATGGCATAAAAAGTGTATTCTACAAGCACTCAAAAGCACAAATCAAGCTTATTTATACAATAACAGAAGTGTCCTTGAGAGAGCCACAAAAATAGCGTACTAAAATAATCCGTCAACCAATGACAGTCAAGGATTTTCCAAGGGGGGCAGAATGTAAACTGAATGTCAACTAAGCGTCTCTGGCGCAAAAACATGGAAATTCAAAATTTCAGAGTAACATTACAAAATTAAGACCTTTTCCAAGTGAATTCTGGGGATCTAACGTCCCCAACAACCAGTTGTACACAGTTATAGTTTCACTCTCCAATGAGGAAATGTAATCTTTTCCAGAAAAAAAAAACTTTGAAGAGATAAATATTTTTTTTTCACTGTGAGACCACCATTAGAAACTTAGAAGCACTGAAAGAAGGCCGTTTCGTCCTGGTATGGGTCTCATCAGTGGCAGTGCACATCCACGACTGCTTCACCTCGCAGGGTTCGAACCCAGGACCTCCGGTCTTGCGCAAGAACGCCTAACCTGTGGACCACTCAGTAGGCACCTAATAGTTTCAATAACGACAAAGCGCTACTGCATTTCTTCATAATTTCAAATTCTGTTTTACTGATGAGTATCAATTTGTACGAAATCGATATTTAGAGTTTCTCATAAAAGATGCCTACACATAGCTTATAACAAAGAAGCATTAAAATGTGATTTGATTTTGAGATGATGGAGGAAAATTTCTGTAGCTCAGGTGGATGATTGTAAGTGTGGTGTCGTACTCTGTTGTAGTGAATGAGAACACAGAAGGGGCAACCGGATGGTATTTAACGAAAATTACAGAGCTAATCATTAAAATCGGAAAACCATATCGTAAACCGTTCATTTGCAAAATATCAGTTCATCATATCGAACTGGACTGTACCTATTGCAAAACATCGTCAATCCATTGTCACTACTATTCATACGTTTCATCATACAAATTCCATTGTGTTCTTCTAACTCTTCCGTTCTTATTGATCTTCCCCCATCTTCTCTTCTGCTGCCAGACATTACGTTTACACTCACGTCATATACTACTTATAAGTAGCTCAGACCACACTATGAACTGGATGTTTTCAACTGTGGATGTTTGGATTGTTCGTCTTCGGAACAACATCAGTAGCAGCACAAACTTCAAGGGTAGAGGGAGCAGTGAAGCATTTGAAGTATTCTCCACCCGTATGACTCGTAGACAAACATAAGATCAAGAAATATATCAACATGGGAGGGTACAATCAAAATAAAGGGACAGACAATGACAGCTCCAAGGTCAATAACCCTAACCAATCAAGTTCGAGGTCAATAGAACGAGCTACGAGTCCCACATGGAAAATACTTTGAGTACTTAAGTTTTCGACCTGAAATTTGTGCTGATGATGTTGCTGTTCAGAACATCCACAATCGAAAATATCCAACTCATAGAGAACAGAACTCTACCACAAATTATATGTGCACCACATATAGACTGTAATGTTATCTGTATGTTCCAAGCGAAGTAAGTGATTTTCTTGTGAAGCCACTGTCTAAATCCTTGACCTACTGGTTTAATCCATAGGGTAGTGCTGGAGTAACGTTAGGAGATTCAGTTCCATAACAGCACGTGACTAGTTATAAGTTCATACATCATTTGTTCTATAAGGATCCTGTGGCCTATGTGTACCATTGGTTTGAAATATGGGTTTTTCAACTCTTCTAAAGTTTAAATTCCAACTGGATATTCACATTTCCTGTTATGTTCGTCACTTGGTACGCTTGAAGCTATTACGACGAGTTCGCCTTAGTCAATAAACGCGAACGAGACAATGAACCAGCGTCCAGGTAGGCTAACTTGAATCCCAAAACTGTAAAACAGAAGTCTTGATAATCGTAGAAAGTGTATTCTACAAACACCCAGCCAGCACACAATACAATCAAGCACACACAACTCTCGTTTATTTATACATCATAGAAACGTCCTTGGGACAGTCACAAAAATAGCACACTAAAATAACACAGTAACCAATCACAGCCATGGATTTTCCTTGTGGGAAATGAAATCTCAAGGTCAACTGATCGTTCTATGAAATAAATCCAAAATCAGGATATTTACCAAGTGAGTTCTGCGGATCTAACATCCCCAACACTCCTACCCTTTTTAATAGCGTGCGCTCCTGAGTTCGACTTGTATCTTGACTGTTGTTCGCCGCTGTCTTAGAAGATACCTTCAGGAACGGAGATCAGCTTGTGACTGAGTTTCTTCTCGTGGGGGAGGGCTGTCGGTAGGTTGAAGTTACCAAGCAGGATGTCAAGGGGAAGATTTTCTACTCTTGATGGACGATCTGGAGCTAGCCGTTTGCGTACCTGGTTTCGATGGCCTGACCACCTTTCGCCTCCTACCTCTACTTCGTACATAACTCGACCAACCCTTCTGATCACTCGCACTTCTACTCAAGGACCATGATTTGCTCTGTAGTCACGGGCGAACACATGGCATCCTACTTCGTAACAGGATCGCCTTTGCTGCTTTGTCTTTACTGATGTTGGTGTATTAGTCGGATGCATCAGGCTGTGTGGATCGTTTTCAGTCTTCTTTCCACCAGGATTTCTGCTGGGGACTTTCGCTCCGGTAACAACTGATTTGGTGTTATTCGATAGACGGACAAGAAATTTTCGTAATGTGTCGGCTAGTTTCCCTCCCCTTTTGACTTAACCAATGCTCTCGTAGGATCGGACTTGTCAGTGACAGTGCGTATGCATGAACTCTGCACCCAAGGATCGAAACACAGGACATTCGGTCTCCAGTGTGAACTTATCAACTTTTTAACACTAAGTTGGAATCCAACAATGTCAATGTTTGACGTCAATCAATCCACAGTATTAAAAGACTTCACTCAATGTGTTGTTCGTTGGGTAAGTGTGTTGGGGATGTTGGATCGCTTGATAAATGCCTTATTTTGGATTTCACGTTTGCAAGCATGGGGCTGATAAGTTGACCTTGAGATTTCATTTCCAATCAGAAAAATCCATGTCTGTGATTGGTTGCTGTGTATTTTGAGTGTGCTATTTTTGTGACTGTCCCGAGGATGTTCCTATGATGTATAAATAAACGGGAGTTGTGTGTGCTTGATTGTATTGTGTGATTGCTGAGTGTTTGTAGAATATACTTTCTACGCTTACCAAGTCTTCTGTTTTGCAGTTTTGGGATTCAAGTTAGCCTTCCTGGACACTGGTTCATTGTCTCGTTCGCGTTTATCGACTAAGATGAACTCGTAATAGTTTCAAGCTTAACAAGTGACGATCATAACAGCGTGAAGTGAGAAACAGTCATCTGTGAATTTTAATCGTGTCGGGTATGTGGCAGTTAACCAATGAACAAAATAAATGATCATCACACGATATCGTGGATTGATTGAAGATAGATATTAACAGCGGCGGATGCTGACTTAATGGTCTAGAAGTTAAGTGTTCGTGCATGAGATCGAAGGTCCTGGGTTCGATTCCTGTCACGCATGCATGTGAACATGTCAACTTGATATACTTGAAGTATTGCGGTTTTACCTAGTCAGAAAATGAGAGCGAGGATCGAGGATCCGGCGACACGACATGCTACTCAAATCCGATTATCCCAACCTCCATATTTAGTAAAAATAAGGAGACGTGATATGAAGTAGAACATGTATTCTAAAAGCATCCAGAAAGTACGAGGTCAGAATCCAGAAGAGAACCAGGATCCCAGATTAGGGATCCGGTATCGGGTCCTGGTCCTGATCATAAAACGTTACAAATAATGCGTATTCATACATTTTGTTCGAATAGGAAAGCGTATCAAAGTGTGTGACATTGACAGTTAATACGACCAATAGGAAGCAACATTTGAAGTGACATTAATAGTCAGGACAACCAATAAGAAACAACATTAGAGTACGTGACATTTATATCTAGTAGGACGACCATAAAATTGACCAGTAAGTATTAACCAATAATTCTCTTAGGATATTGGATGAGTATCCTAACAATTCCTTTGTGCGGGGTGCATGGATGCTTACTGTTGAGGAGTCCCACACTAGCACGAAACGACTGTCTTTCAGTTCTTCCAGGTTTCTAATGGTGATCTAACATTATTCAGTCTATGATTTCAATAAGAGTGTCAATAAGTAGTACTTACTTACTTACGCCTGTTGCCCCCAATGGAGCATAGGCCGCCCACCAGCAGTATTCTCCAACCAACTCTGTCCTGGGCTTCCTTCTCCAGTTCTGTCCAATTTTGGTTCATTCCACTCTTTATCTTTCTCTATTTCTCGGTGTAATGTGTTCCTTGGCCTTCCTCTTTTCCTTTTGCCTTGAGGATTTCATGTGAGGGCTTGTCTCGTGACACAGTTAGGTGCTTTCCGCAATGTGTGTCCTATCCACTAACTCCACCGCTTCTTCCTGATTTCCTCCTCCACTGGAATCTGGTTTGTTCTCTCCCACAGTACGTTATTGCTGATGGTGTCTGGCCAACAAATCCAAAGTATTTTGCGTAGACAACTGTTCATAAACACTTGTATCTTCTGGGTGATGGCTTTCGTAGTTCTCCAAGTTTCCGCTCCATACAGTAGAACTGTCTTGAAATTTGTATTGAAAATGCTGATTTTGGTTTTGGTTGAAAGTTGATTGGAGTTCCAGATATTTTTCAATTGAAGAAATGCCACCCTTGCTTTGCCAATCCGTGCCCTCACATCTGCATCAGATCCACCTTTCTCGTCGATAATGCTGCCCAGATATGTAAAGGTGTTAACGTCCTCCAAGGTATCTCCATCAACAGTGAGTGATTTGGTTGGTGCATGTTGTATTGCATCGGAGAATTTCGCTTTTTCATTTATGTATGTTGAGACCTACTGCTGCGGCTGCAGAGGCTGCTGCTACACTGGTCGTCTTCTCTTGCATTTGTTGTTGCATGTGCGATAAAAGAGCCAGATCATCTGTGAAGTCCAGATCGTCCAGCTGCGTCCTAACTGTCCAGTTGATACCATGCTTCCCTTCAGTTGTCGACGTCTTCATAATCCAATCGATCACCAGCAGATCAATAAACAGTAGTTTGGCAAATTTTTTTCTTCTTAATCATAAAATTGCGTAATAATCTCGTAAACAAAAAAAATATTTTTGTTTTCTCCCCCCCCACTTTCAAGGTCACTTATTATGATTTATATGAATTATGGCCAACTGGACATTGTCGACGTGTCTATGCATCGACATGTGAACGTGCACGACGTCATCAAAGTGGTTGGGCTATGCGTAACACAAATAATCATAATCCGCAAGTATTGAAAAAATCATGTCTTGGCGTGTTGGAATGTACAGCCAATTGTATGGTACAAGGGAAACCACTGAGTCTGCGTCCAGCAATATGTGATAAAGCGAGAAAGAAACAATGCAGTAAGTTGTGCATGGATGTGTCGATATATGTACGTGTGGGTGTGTGTGCGTGTGTGTGTAGACATCATTATTAAACTATCTGCCTACCTACGTAACTACTTACGGACTTAATCACCTACTTATTCACTTACTTACTTACCTACCTACCTACCTACGTACTTACTTATTTGCTTGCCTGCTTGCTTACTTACTT